TATAAATAGTTAAAGGGGCGCTGCTAACCCGATATTTTTGCCTCTAAAATTTCTTTCTTCTCTTTGGTTCTCTTCTCCTCTCTTCCTCTTCTTCTCCCCTCCCTCCTTTATTATTTTTCTAGTGCAGAATAGTGCCAAGCACCCCTCTAGAAGGATAGCTCATGCTACCTATCCCACTTGTCCATCCCTCTAATGTGTATATTGAAACCCACTCCCTGGAGGTGTAATTCCTCAACATAACTGATATTTGTTTTACCCCTTCCCTTGCCAAGGCATCAATGCTCTAATTAGTTGATCTTGAATCCAGCTAAATGTGGTTCTTATCTTCCTAGCTAAGAATTTTACTGCCCTCATGAATATGTCTATATTTGTGAACCATCTCACCACCACCTTTGAATCCCCATCCACCAAAAAGTCATTGAAATTCAGGGGTGAATTGGTCTATTTGTTATGGTTTCAACCCAATATATAAATTGAGAAAGTGGCAGAAGATAGGAGTTAGAATTTTTCACCTTCTCATCTATCTCACTTTTTCTACTTTCACCATTCTGCTTTTCGTTTTATTAGTTTGAAGATGAAATGGTATCAAGACTTTCCAAAAAGATGCAGCATAATAAATTATAAGTTTGATTTAGGGTGAAACTTAAGTACAAACTCTAATAAGTAACCTCATACAACTTGTTTGAAATGGTAGAAAACTGATCTGCTTCATTCCATTGCCAATCGGCATATTTATACAATAAGCTGCTGCAATAAATAGCAAAAAAACTTTCCAAGTCAATCCCTATAATTAAGGGACTAATCAATCCCTATAATTAAGGGACTAACCATTTTAATACCCATATTTAAGGGATTATATTTTCCACAATCCTAGGAATACATATTCACATAACTCTATTTTTACACAATTACCAAATATAAATGCTAACTACCAAATATACATCTATACCAGTAATCCCATGTTTTCCAATAAAGTGTCGGTCAATTTCGATGTGCTTCGTCCAGTCATGTTGAACAGGATTGTGAGCAATATTGATGGCTAACTTGTTGTCACAATATAGTTTCATAGGCTCTTCTCGTGGAATCTTCAGGTCTTCTAAAATTATCTTCAACCA